TTGCATGGTGCTTAACACAGATCTTGAGACATCCTTCCGCTGTGCCTGGAACAAACTGTTGGGCCTCGTCCAGCCAGGTGATCGGACTTGGCCCAGAGGACGTCCTGTGTTGGGCAGCCAAGATTAATCCATTTAAATTTGGCCTCCAACCATCAGATCCCAACGCAAGACTCAACACGATCGCCTGCATGCAGCACACACACAAGATATCCGGTATTTATGCACAGGTCAGGAACTGGCCGTGATTTTAATGTCGTAGGTAGGAAAGTGCGGCACGAGTGAAAGCACGTTACTTCATGTCTGCCTTTTGAAAATCAAGAGGACGCAACCAGATTACAAAGATAGGCGACAGTCAAGTTTAGACTCGCAGGAGAACAAAGTGGGCCACGGAGTAATTGGATGACAAATTTACAAGTTAGTTAAATTGGCTCCCTGATTCATGAATTTAATTCTTTCGGTCTATTTGTGTGCAGATGTGTGCCTTTGTGAAAGGGGGCGCGACCCAGTGAGACCACTGCTCTGCCTCCGGCTTAGCATTTTTCCTCGCATGCTGCAACATCTGCTTCAATCTCCTTGTGAGTGTTTTCATTTTGCATGAGCATGTATGGTGGCGAGTATGAAACTGGCTTGAAGCGAAAATGTTGTCTTGGAGCACCAAGTAACCACCTGACCAAGTTAAGGCTCTTCACTCCAGAAGTTTGTTGAGTGGGGCATTCCGAAGTTAAAAAAAAAAAAAAAACCCCAAGCACAACAAACAGTTGGACCCATGAGAGCCTTTTAATGAGGCGCTTTGTGCTCAGGTTGCTAATCTGACCGCGAGACCCGCTGTCGGATAATTCAAGACAACACTAGCTCGGATTTAGCAGACATGATACTGAGCTGAGGCACGCGGCCTCCCACATGAGCGACGCTGCTGCCGCACAACTTCGTGGATATTTCTTTGACGTCGAACATTTCTCAGCCACCTGACGTTCCGTTTTCAGAAGTAATATGAGAAAGTTCAAATGAAAACCAATAATTTCCGATAATTGATATTGAATCTCAAAATGAATAAAATATAATCCTGCCTCTTAATGTAGTGGGGTCAGAGGATGAGATATCTAATTTATTTTAATGGTTAGCGACAATGTGCATGTTTTGCTACTTTCTGAACTCTTGTCACTTCTGACGGTGAGGTGATGAGCCGTCACAAAAGCTCTGATGCCTATAGTAGCTATGAATAAAGCTGGTCCTGTTTTTTTTTCACCGTCACCTGTGTTTTACATATATTTAATATGTAAAACCAAAAGCAATGAAATAGTACAAAAAGAGCACCGTAGATGTGTGTGTGTGTGTGTGTGTGTGTGTGTGTGTGTGTGTGTGTGTGTGTGTGTGTGTGTGTGTGTGTGTGTGTGTGTGCGCACGCGCAGTCTCCCACAGAAGCGAACAAGTTAGACAGACAGGAGAGAGAAGCAGTGCGAGTTAAAGTTGATGTATGTAAACAAACGTGCACGCAAATGCCCGTTTGTGGAGCCCGCCCACCCCCCAAAAAAGCAAAAAAAAAAAAATAGTTTCCTTTTGATCTCATCAAACGTTAAGTTGATGTAGTGACAGGCCTACCAAGCATGCATCTGCACCACCCTTTGCCAAATGACAGGACCCAACATGTGTACTGAGTCAATATTTACCTCTCATGTTCAATATTATGGTCATACACATTAAATTTTTTAAAATTCATTATTTTTGTACAATTGCCTCCGACAGATGAACCGAAGGTCCACTTTGGATCTTGATCGAAACGGACAAACGAGTGCGTAAACTTGACATGGGTGGGAGGGCATGTGAAGGTTAACCCATGGCTCAGCAGGGGTCACACGGTGGGTATCTTGGGAGGGCGGGGGGTCACCATGGCGACGACAAATGCGTTCTCCAGTTTGCTTCCCATGAGTCCCTTTGAATTTCGAACTGCGTCATGCTCCAGTTTTGATCTGTTATGGCATACAAGTTCGGCTCAATGGAAGCATCGGAGTGGTTTTTGTTTAGTGCACGTTGACAATTATTTAATTTGAACCAAAATGGTGATCCGGTTTTCAGCGTTAAAGGTCCAAATGTGACTTAAAAATCAATCCTGAACCTTAAATATAAAGTGTATGTCTGAACGGACCAATTCAGTTTTTTTTTTTTTTTTTAATCCGGCCCACCGTGTATTTACTTCATCACTTGTTGCATTAATTACGCAGTTGTTTTTAACAGAAATTGGAAAATTAAAATGACTTATTCTTTTGTCGTATTAATTAGTTAATTGTTGTAAATAATACAATGAACATTGCTAAAATAAACAGCATACATATTTTTAACGTAATGTCACAATATCACAGAAAACAAACACAAAAATCAAAGCAGTGTCCCGACTAAATAATCGCATTTCTTCTTTGCGTCTGTGAAAATCATCAACCGTTAAAGTGATCGTAATTTGCCAAAGTTGAATTGAAGCAAATGTTTGAATTTTTCTTTTTCTCTTGTTTTTAGAGAATGCCTTGGGCAATTATGCCCTGATGATATGATGTGACAATGTCATTTGTTAAATGATTGGTCTTTTTTTTTTTTTAAACCTTATCTCCAAATGGCTCATCCGTTCCTTGAAAAACCCCAAATTGGCCCACGAACGCAAGTTTTCCAAGTTACCATAAAATGCAGACTCACATCATGTCCACGCGCAGTGCAAGAGCTCGCCGATGAAAACGCAGGTCCAGTCAAGCCTGTCACGTTTTTCCTCCAAACATTCCACAAAAAACGTCCTGGAACGTGAATGCGCAGGCCAGGGTCCTACTGATCAGCTTGAGGAGGATTGCTGCCTTGAGCTGGATAAAATTCTCTCTCTCTCTCTCTCTCTCTCTCTCTCTCTCTCTCTCTCTCTCTCTCTCTCTCTCTCACCCCCATTTGAGCCCACACGTGCTTGCTCGCATCAAAACAGTTCAAACTCAGCCACGCTGTGAACAAAAACATCAGCCACCCAGCATGAAATGTGACTGGTCGCCAGTCAGTGTCACACCACATAGACAAAAAATGGACTGGTCGCTATCCACTTTCCCACTTATATCAGCTATTGCTTCAATGTTCACCAAATGTGATGCATCGCAGCTGAAATCTTATTTGCTGATGACCTCATCTCGAGTTGGAGGTGGTGTGTTTTTGATGCTTTGACACTTCTAGGATTGTCAATTGTGACTTACGGAAGTGAGGTTGACATTTCGCTGCCAGTTTTTTCCTGATGGGCTTTGCTCTCATTTCACTCCTGGTGGTTCTGACATCATGATGCAAACCAGTCCTTGAGTCGCACTTGCTGATATGCCTTACAAGAGAACATGTAGATTCGCGTTCCTACCAATTAAATGTGCATGTAGAGCTTCTCCTGGTACTACCAGTGCAACTGGACCCCACACACTGTGGTGTTTTCACTGTAGAGAGGGATAATACCGTCAAAACACCGAACCGGCATTCATATAGCTGTCCAAGTGTCCAAATGACCTCGCCCTCGTCTGTCATCTTGGCAGGTGAAACTTGAAGTTGGCGCCGCCTGGTGGACGACACTCTCCACAGCATACTGCTCCATCTCAGCATAGCCTGCAGACCACACACACATAAAAGCTTAAATTTAAACAACACAAATGAAACTTAGGCTTGAAACCCTCATTTGAAAATCTTGTCTAAAACTTCAAAGTTTTAACCCTACTTTGAATTCCTACCCCAAGCTTCAAACCTTATCACCTGAAACCACATTTGACACTCAGGCTTAAAAACCTCATTTGGCTTCAGTGAAGCCCTAACTTGTCTTTTGAAAGCCAGACTTGAAACCCTACTTTGAGAAGCTCACCCGAGATTTGAAACCCTCCTTTCAAACAGTAACCCGTGTTTGAAACCCAACACCTGAGGTCAAAACCCCAAATGTTGCTTGGATCAGCTACTACACACCACCTCACACTTGTACAACGCATACGCACACAGATTAGTGTCCTTCATCCCCCGCCCCCAACCCCACAGTGGGGTCAGCTCTGATGTCATTAACAGGTGGGAAACAGAAATAGACTCTCACACATGCACCACACTCACACACACACACACACACGCACACACACACGCACACACATACAATGCAGTTCAGCAGCTTGTTAATATTGTTGTGTTTACGAGAGAACACGGTGAAAGTTATGCGTGGGGCGTCAACATTTGGGGGGCCGGCGGTAGAGCTGGGGAGGACTCCAGTCACATGACTCGTACTAAGTCTCCCTTGTACTCTGTGCCGACTTCATGACAGAATTCTGACCTCGCCAGTCATCAGCAAACAAGATTTTGATTAACTTCCTGCTCCAGTAGTGAACGTTTTCAGATTTTGATATATGTAAATAAATAAATACTGCCATTATCAGTGCAAATTACGTTTGTGTATCATAACATGTAAAGGCTGTATTAGGAGCTCTGAGGAATCCCTAAGAGATTACAGTGGTGCTTTGAGATAAGAGTTAGTCATTTCGGGACTGCGCGTTTTTCTACCAGGTCGAAGGAAAAAAAACGGTCTAAATAATCATGCTCATATCTTGCAAAATGATAAGTTGCGTCTTTTGCATCTCAAATTTTTGCGTAGAAGTTGAGGCAAAAAACATTCAGCTGAGCAGCTCTCAAGTCAAAGCAAAAAATTGGACAAAGAGCGGCTTGTATCTGGAAAAAACTCCCAAGTGGGGTGGATCGCTCATGCTCCCAAAGTTTTCCTCGCAAAATTCATGTGGACACAAGTAGTCTTGCGAGGGCTGCAACTAACGATTATTTCAATAATTGATTAATCTGTCACTTATTTTGTCAATCAATAAATAGAATAAAAAGAACAAGTTTGAATTTACATCCTGGGATTATTTCAACTTGACAGTGCCGAAGAATGCACTAAACCAGATGACAGAAATGTCCTTCTTGAGAGGCAAAAATTTCGAGCATGGGGACAATTTTCAATTCGAGGTCTGTACTCTGAACGATTCATCGATGATCAAAATATTCTCATTATTTTAACGTGGCAATTGTCGATGAATCGTTGCACCTGTCATGCCGTGAGAACTAACTCATGCATGCTGAGAGAGGATGTAAATTTTGGTTGCAGATTTTCAGATTTGCCTTGACATTTGCTCACCTCAACCAGGGCTTTCTTGTTTTTCCCCCCAGAGCAACTGAGAGGTTGCGACTCGCGACGACGGGGCAGTTGGGGTTCGGTGGGTGTCAGCGGCCTCCCGCTCGGCGGCATTCCAGACTGTCAGCTCAGGTCCCGCGAGGCGTCTTTGGGCTGGCCTATATTTGGAGGAAGCGAGCCGTTGAGATATTTTGAGGCTCCTAACATGTCACAGGGCGTTTGGCGCCGCCAGCTGCGACCGCTCGCTCTAATCGCTGGCTTCCTCCGCGTCGGATGCCAGCGCGCCTCCACGTCAGGTAAGTCTGCGTTCCTGCATGAAATTGCAGAGAAAAGATTGGCAGTTCGGGAGCGTTGAGCGTGTGTGTGTGTGTGTGTGCCCGGCGTGTTGAGGTTCGGGTTTTAAATCTGAGCTCGCATGTTTGTATGGCGGCGAAAAGCCATGCAGCATTGCCACTGGCCGAGCACACGTTCGCTTCAGGAGAAAAGCCACCGTTTTCCCAAAGGTAAGAATGGGAGCGTCAACGCTGCCGGGCGACCAGTCAGTCTAATGTTTCCTAAACTTTGTTGAGCCAAGGCACGTATTTTACGTCGGGAAAAAAAAATGTAACAGCACACAACCTCATAAAACAATTTACAAAAAGTGGATGACAGCTTCGTTATGTACCTTCTGTCATCTGTTTGTTTTGCCTGATACTCGAAATGTTTGGCAAAAAGAAATTAACAAAACGTTTTTAAATGGAGAAGAAACTTTTTTTTTTTTAACAAAATAATTGACATTGGAAAATTTCCCACGGCACACTGATTGGGTATCGCAGTGCCTGTTCATGTGTGCTCCTGTAATGACTGGCGGCCTTTTAAAAAAATGTTTCTCTCTATTGGGGTTCCAATCCTTTTACATTTTTCATTAGTTCTGATGTTATTTGGACTTTTTTTTTCTCTAATTCAAGTGCATTGAATTTGTTTTGAGAGCAGTTAACATTGTTAAAATGCTTCCTTTTTTTTAGCAGGGATAAATGAGAATTTTCTGCCAATGCAGATGTTTTATTTTATTTTTTGAGGGGACTAAAATCACTATTCTTAAAGATGAGCACAAAACCACTGAGAATTTATCGGATGGGTCTCTCGGCATTGTGGTTGAGCGAGAGGGGAGAGAGACACTGACCCGCGCAACGAGCAGGTGGCGCACTGTTCGGAGATTGACGACCTGACCAAGGTGTTGATGTCTGAAGAGTTTTTTTTCTTTGTGGCATTTCCAGTGTGCGTCAATGAGAGGCGAGTGCCATTGCTATTTAATGTTGTCCTAAATGGGGCCTGAAGCCCTACTTTGAATCCCAAATTGAGGCTTGAAACCCTAACCAGGCTTGAACTGTGGCTCCGCACCCCAATTTATAGCCCTACCCCAGGTTTGAAACCCCACTTTGAAAGCTTAAACATGGCTCAAAAACTCGACTCTACCTTAAACCAGGCTTGAACCAATCATGAATTGAGACCCTAATTTAAAACCCTTACCCAGGCTTGAAACCCTATTTTATATGAATCCCTAATCCGGGTTTGAAACCCTACTTTGAACCTTTAACCCTGTCTTGAAACCTTACTTTGAAGCCCATACCTACTCGTGATACACTACTTTAAAAATCTTAACCCTGATCTGAAACCCTAACCTGGTTTAAAACCCTGCCCATGGCTTGAAAGCATCCTTTCCAAGAAATGACCTTCCACTTATTGTGTCCATTGTCTTTCCAGGCATTTTCGCGCCACCTGTTGCTCTAGCACAGGGGTCGGGAACCTATGGCTCCCGAGCCATATATGGCTCTTTTGATGATTGCATCTGGCTCGTAGATAAAACAAAATAGTCTCGTTTGTTTAATCCATCCATCAATTTTTCGCTGTTCCGGGCTGCACTTGGCTCCAATTGGATGATACTGGCCTATGTTGGCCGTTGCTGGGGAAACAGGTAAACGCCCCCTTTTGAATCAGCCCGCTCGGTCATTAGCTCAAAGCTAATCCTTCGACGAATAAGATGGGGGAAAAAGAAAAAAAGGTGTATGGTACACTTCAGGACGAATGGACCGAAGGATTCGCCTTTGTAGAGAGAACAGGTTCTGCGGTGTGTCTAATTTGCAATGACAAAATACCACCGATGAAAAGGTCGAATGTAAAGCGGCACTTTGACACTCGCCATGCTACGTTCGCATCAAAATATCCTGCGGGAGACTCCAGAGAGGAAGCGTGCAAGCTACTGAGCAGGGTGCAAAGCTAGCCAGTAGCAACTCTGCGTACGGACCCGGCAAGCTGACTCTAATTTCGCGAGCTTTGCTTAACCATCGTGAGGAACGGAAAACATTCACGTTAATGGTGAGTATTATAATAACATTATTTCTAAAGAATCCATTCAGAGGCTTATACTGCCATTTTGTTGAATTCACTTTTAAAATACTCTGGCTCTCACTGAAATACATTTTCAAATATTTTGCTTTCATAGCTCTCTTCGTCAAAAAGGTTCCCGAACCCTGCTCTAGCATGTGCTTGACAGTATTTTTTGTTTGTTAGGGATTAATTTTTTTCTTTCAGGTGGTTTTGGGGATCTTTGACATATTCTCGATGGCCAAAAGTGACATATCTGCTGATGCTTTTTTTTTTTTTTTTTTTTTTCTGTTTGTCCAGGAAGTGTCCATCTGGTGCCGAACATTTCATTCAAGATTCAGTCACAATGTTTTTTGTCCCATTGCATCTTTTTGCCCGAGCTGCCATTTTGTCCCCACCAATAGACTCACGTCTGGCCCTGGCACAGGATGTTTTTGAGAACGCGCTTTTGCACAATCACCCATAAGCATTTTTCATTTCTTTTTTTGTGAATTTATTATTTTTAAATGTTTGTCCAAATTTTTTTTCCTATTAGTGAAAGGTGATTTATCGATTTCAAATTTTTTTCAATGATGTGGTCCACCTTCCTGGTGACGGACGAGGAGGGCCTCGCAGTGGGCCCGCCCGCCACCCCCACGGTGGGAGGCAGTGCGCAGGCCAGCGGCGGTGGCGGCGGCGGCGTGGTCGGAGGGGCCCAGGCCATGGGCGGCCTGGCGGGACTCATGAGCGGCCGTAGCACCTTCGGCGGCAACAAGCGGCGCAGGACCGGACACCACGTCCTAACTGAGGCGCAGGAAGGCAAGGTGCGTTGACGTTTGGCTGCAAACCCTCAGGCCTCGGCCACAAAGCAAAAAATAAAATAAAAATGGAGGCAGAGAAAGCTTACTAGGGGGATTGACTCAGAGGCACTTGAAATGCTGCATTTAACATTTGAATGCGATTGGATGATTTTTTTTGTTTTTAATTATATGAGGGTGTGCACACTTGTGCAATCGCATGATCACCGTTGCTTTTGAGTCCCCTCAAAAAGATTTTTCATTGTGGGAAAAGTTTTGAAACGATTCAGCTTGGTCTCATTTCCGCTAACGGGTGTTTTGCTTCATTATGATCATTTTGCGCACTTAGCGGGCCGGTGAAAGTTTTAATATTTTAAATTTCTCAGAAACAATCAAAACAAAATTCCTCTTTAGTAGCACGTAGAGTGGATAAACAAAATCCAATTCTGGTACATTTGAAAAGTGGCAGGCACATGTAGCGCCCGGGGATGTACAGAAAAAAAAATCCAATTTTTGGTCCACTTTTGCACATTTACAAGGGTTATACTTTTGCACCTCGAAAAATGCTACTCTCAGTTAAGCAGGAAATCCGTCATTTTTAACCGACTTTCACATTTTGTCTCATTTTAGAACTTTTATTCAACTCATATTTTATCAAACAAATATTTAATTTGATGTGCTTCAGCTTCTCAAAATTCCAGTTCGTTGGTGCCGTCATTCTAATGTGCCGATATCAAAATGGGGACAGGGCTGCAAGGACCCTTTAAAGTTGCTTGCAGCTCTAGTTTTTATTATGTTGTATACAAAAGATCTGAAATTTTGGGGGAATGACAATTGTAGCATTGACATGTCACGAAGATGCATGTTTTTTTTTTTTTTCATATGGGTTTGTTTTTGAAAACGTTTTTCTTTGATATTTTTTCTTTTGAATAGAGTGGTTTATTAATCAAACTAAACCTAATCAATAGCATGTTGGTAAACTAGAAGAATGTTTTTCTTTTTAGATCAAGCTGGCGTTCTTCGTGGCTATCGTGGGCGTTATCCTGACCGTGCTGGGCGTGGGCACGGAGTTTTGGGTGGAGCTGGCGCCGCCCAAGAGTTTCTACGGCAACCAGGTGAGAATGCGGGCTTAGGTGGGGTCACAGGGTGTCTTGCGTCCGGCGGGGGCTGACTTCCTGTGTGGCAGACTTGTCCGGCGATGCACTTTGGTCTGTGGAAGGCTTGCACCAAGCGGCTGTGGGTGGCTGATATCGACCCAGACAGGGAGAGCTGCGGGCCCGCCGAGCTGCCCGGAGGTACGCGCGTCTTGAAACCTGTCGGCATATTTGGATCGTCCGTTATCTGGATTGCGACTGTCATTTGATTGTTAGTTTTATTGATTTTGTTTAATTTGGGACAGGGGAGGGTCATTTGGATTATCTTTTGTATTGAAATTTGGTTGTCTTTGTCTGAGCAGTTTTAGATATACATTTTTTTTTCTTCTTTACTTTTCAGTCTTATTTTTTTCACATTTTGTTGAACGTTTATTTGCATTGTTTTTATTTCAATTGTTTGAATTACCATTTCATAAATGTGGAATGTATCTGGGTTTCGACTCTTCTCGTGAGGAGAAGCGGTTTGGCGAAGGAATGGACCGCTTGTGTTTGGTTTATATTTGATTTTGGTTTTTTTCAATTTAGATTAGATTTTTTTTTTTTTTTTTTGGTGGGGGGTGTATTTTGATTAAATGGAATACTTTGAAATGCTTGTCATTCAAACGATTTCCTCTGGTTTATTTCTGGATATGAGCATGTTTTTGTTGAGTATGTGACACGTTGCACTTGCGTGCGTTTGTCTTTCAGAGTCAAACTGCACATACTTCAAGTTCTTCACGACGGGCGAGAACGCAGTCATGTTCCATAAGACCACGCGCAAAAGTCAGTTAGGACCCTCATTTCAAACCTTCACCTGCACTTGAAAAGCCTAAGCTCCGACTTCAAACCCGACAAGCGTCACCTGTCGTAGGAGTGGCACTGAGACCCAAAATGTGCTTTTTGTGTTTGCGCTTGTGTACCCTTCCTTCTCGCCTTCATCCTGGCACGCTCTTGTCACGCCTTTTCCGAAATGGACTTTGTTCAGGCAAACCAAACGGGTTGCTTTTGTGTGCTTGTGGCAGGCCTAAATGTGACGTCGGCCATGTTGTCGCTGTTCAGCCTGTTGCTGATGGCGATGGGCGGCATCTGCATCACCATGGCGCTCAGCAAGGAAATCGTCTTCTTCCTCAAGCCTGCCTCTGTCTGCTTCGTCCTCTCCGGTAACCACAGCACAAAATGGAGCATTTGTCTGTGTCTGGCGGTCCGGGCTGCGTCTTGTGTGAAACCCTCCCCTTTATCCCCCCCCCCCCCACCTCTCCAGGCATACTGGTGCTGCTGTCCCTGCTGGTCTTCCAGCAGTCAGTGTGGTCCCTCCTGGCCAGCGATCACGCTATCCCACTGCACCACAACTTCTCCTGGTCCATGTCATGTGTGGGCTGCGCCAGTGCCATCTTGATTGTGGGCGGACTGCTCTTCCTGCTGCTGGCGCTGCCCTCCAGCACCTGGCAGAGGTGTCACAGCACTGCCAGCTAGTGGTCGGGAGGCGCGACTGCACTCAGTGCTGCCGCCTAAGCGCGGGGACTTGGCGCTGCAGACATACAGTACTTGGAAAGCACAACTATTTGGTATCTTCCCAGTGCTGCTACACTCCTTGTCCTCACTAGTAAGACAATTCAGCTCACTAGGCAAAGAACAACAAAGGTTTCTCAACATTTTTAACACAGCTTTTGGCCTAATAGAACACAATTACATATTACTAGAAAACTACCCTGCTGCACTAGTAACACTACAGGGCCCAACCATAATCATGTGTCATGCACAAGTACAGTCAAACCTTGGTTTTCGAACGTCTCTGTTCTCGACCAAATCAGTTTTCGACCAAAAATTTCGAGTTTTTTATACCTCGGATGACGACCGAATTTCGGTTCTCGAACAAACTGAGCGCACTTGAATGCGTCACTTGACTCCTCTCGCCTTCCTTACACGAGAAAGTGACGCTTCCTCGGGTAGCGTTCCATTGTGAACAGACGTGTTCAATAATTTTATTTTATTTTTTTAAAAAGAGCGTGGTTTCGGTTTTCGAACAAATCGGTTTTCGAACAACCTTCTGGAACGGATTATGGTCGAAAACCGAGGTATGACTGTATCCTCCTTCCTGACCGAGGGCCACCTTAATGTCCACCCACTACTGTGCTCTTTGGCACACTATTAGGACAACTACAGTACATGTTACTAGTAGGCAAAACTGTGCACTACGTGACAGCTGCATGCTACTCCTACTAGTCAAGCGCTAGATGTTGACGAGCGTACATATAATATATATAAAATTTTAGCTCGCTCGCAAGCAGACATGTACGAATTCACAGTTTTGCCTCAGTATATAACATCTACTTGTACCAGTAGTTTGGCAAAGTGCGCAGAAATGTAGTCCACCACCACCACCAATGACTGTATGATGACTAAGACTCGGTCTTATAATTTATTCAGCATAGTAGTTTACCGGTCAGGTATGATTGCATATTCGTCAGCCTAAAGTGACACTAGTAGTGGAGAAAACCAGCACTAGTATAACACAGTGGTTGTACTAATGAACAATATCAGTGAGGACAAAGTGTGTACTAGTACAAGGACCTAAAGATGGATATCACGAATGTGGAATGAAGGCCGTGCGTGTAAAAAAAAAAACACTACTCTGAGCGGCAAATTGTATGTGACGCCATATTGGATGTGGCAAAGCTGGGTGACGATGCCTCGTTGCTTTGCTGCTTGGTGACGTCACAACGGTTTGACATTCAGTCAGATGACCTCTCACAGGGGAAGACTTAGAACAGCACGAGTTGCTGACTTGGATGCGAGGAAGGCCCGTGTGTGCATAATATCGCCGGCTGCTCGCTCAATGAAATTGGTCCGAAGTAATGACAGTGTTGCCGCACTCTTTGTGGGAATCAGAACGGCAAAAAAATGAAAAATGAACATGAGCTGTGAAAAATGCTTCTGAAACCAAATCCATATGTTGACTTGTTGTTGGCTACAACTTTCTCTTGGCATGAAAAACTTGTCAAAATGATGTGAACCATGTCTTGGCAAGAGAACTTTCTCTCAGGACTGCAGTAGAGCCTCGACATGGGATAAGATCATTCTTTCGGAACTTGGAACTTCTCTTGAGATGAGTAGTGTCTCCTGAAACTAAAATCTTCTCTCTGGGCTACCATTTTCAGTCATAGTTGTCAATTGACTTGTATTTGTCTCCAGGGCACATTTGCCACATCCAACATGGCGAGCAAGTCGATTCTGTATCGCAGGCAGCGAGTCGACCAGTAAGACGACGCCTGCGTGTATGTCTCCGGCTGCCTCCGCACATCCAACACAAAGTCTTAAACCACACAAACAATCCTGCCTCGCTTCCGTCGTCAATTTGCTCACGTTGGAATCTCAGCAATTCATCAAATCGAACACTCGGCTGTTGTTTTGCAAGTTGTTGAACGAGCCTCGCCACAAGCAGAAGCCTCACATTTGATAACGTGTGACTAACAATGCTGCCGAGGAAAACAAGACTCTTAATGTGTGTTCTTGTATGAAGTCTTACCCGAGATAAAAAAAAAAAAAATTCGAAACCTACTTTTCTGTATATTGGATGCATGTCATCATTTCACCGGGAAATGATTTTCCTTTCCGCCTTTTTGTTTATGTCTGAGATGATCATAAATGTGTGTCAGAAGAAAGCATGTTCCATTTTTGTTGTGTGGGTCCAAATGCTTTATTCAAAATCAAAGCGGAGAGACTGTCTCCCGGTTGGACCAAGTGGCCGGGGAGGGACAAGCGACAAGTCTGGTCTTCCCTGCTTAAGTCACAGCCCCCCTGCCCCACCGGACGAGTGCAAGACGTGGGATGTATGTGAGTAATTGAGCTTCCTTTTTACCGGCCACTCAATTCACATTAGCTTAGCTTGGTGACTTACCCTGCATTTCTTTATAGCAAGACTCTGCAAGACCACAAATATTCCTAAACAACTTTATTGAATATCAAGTGTATACTTTTTCTAGATGTATATACGTACCTTTAAATATATGTCTGAATTGTATTGCTTCCCTTCATCCATTCAGCCAAAGTGCTTGAGAAAAGGAGCTGATAATGGATTTTTTTTCCCCCTCCCATAAAATGTCTTTGTAAAATGAATCTGGTCAATTCGTAATCTGGCAAGTAGCTCTTTTTTGTGCAAACTCCCCTTCTCAGCACTGACACACATAAAGAATACTGTAGAGATATCTATACAGAAATCACCAGGTAATAAACAATATGGCCTTACACTAACACTAGTCAGAACATTAAAAAGTATATTTTCACGTTAATTATTACTGTTCATATACCAGCCTTGACATGTTGATAGAGGAAAAACAAAGCCGCAGGGAAGCTTTGATTATTAAACTACAACTCCCCCCACCCAAAAAAAAAACTCAGTTGTTCACGTGACTCCACCGAAACCACAAAGTACAACAGTCTTTAAATAACAAGACGTGTGTGTATTCAAAACTAAGGTGCTCAAGTGCGCCAAAGGTTTGAAGCATCCCATAAATACGAGAATTATCGTCAATAATGTTCTACACGGCCCAGGAGAAAATTGTCATGCCGTGCTTGGCATTCAGCACTTGGGACTAAGCCGTTTCGTTTAGTCTTGTTTGACGCTCGGATGTTGAAGTTGACACTTGAAAGATGGGGAAAACAACAAAGGCAAAAAAAAAAAAACCCTCGACTATCTTCGATCGATGGCCTCCGATAATTTAGCATTCAAGTGTGACAATCATCAACGTGAGACTTTTGGCTGTCGGTCCTGCGATATCTTCGTCACGTTGTGTTCTGAAGGACGGCGTCGGGTTCCTGAGAGAAAGAGAGCAGGAGTGTGCGCGGATAGAAGCGCTCTCAATTTTCACAGCTTTCAAAAACGACAACACGCGGCCAAAGTCCGGTCGGCCTTCTCGTCTGAGTTTGCTGGCAGTCGTCTTCAGCTCACAGAACGCGTGTGTGTGTGTGTGTGTGTCTGTGTGTGTGTGTGTGTGTGTGTGAGAGAGAGGCGGCCTGTATTAGCGTGAATGTGTGCGTGTGTCAATCTTTGTATTTGTGAGAACGTGTCTTAGTGTGTGTATTTGCACATTTTTTGTGTGATAATGTGCAGTGTGAAAACGTGTTCGTGATTGCGTGTTTGATGCCTTTTTCTGTGTGTGTGTGTGTGTGTGTGTGTATGTGTGTGTGTGTAGTTTCATGAATGTGCCTGTGTGTGTGTGTGTGTGTGTGTGTGTGTGTGTGTGTGTGTGTGTGTGTGTGTGTGTGCGTGCGTGCGTGTTTTTGTCCATTCGTTGTATGTCTAAGTCCTTATGGCTGCAGTGTTTCCCAAAAGTCAGGACAGGTGAATCTTGGATTCGTAGTCAGTCTGTCTCCAATCATGTTTGGACCGTAACGCCGCTTTCTTCCTGCCCCCGCCATTCAGCTTTCAGACGGGCGTGGTCTTCCTGTTGAGCGTATCCGAATTGCTGTCACGGTCCCGTTTGGCCGTCAGTCGATCCAGCGTCCCCGCAAGGCCCCTGTCCCGCTCCATGGTAGCCCCGGACATGGGCGGCTGCGCAGTGGCGGCAGAGGCCGAGGCGGCGGATCCCGTGGCGGAGGCGGCGCTGTTCAGCGGGGCGGCGTTCTGGCCGGCGGCCGCCAGGTTGGACTTGGAGCGCGACGGGAGCGTGCCGCTACTGACGGGCGCGGCCCCTCCGCCGCTGCCATCCTTGGGGAAGTAGTTGTGAAGCTGGTAGAGCGTGGCGCGATCCATGGTGCCGTAGAGCGGCGCCGTGCCGCCGCCCAGGCTGCCCAGCTTGGTGTCCCTGGACAGGGTGTACATGGAGATGTCACCGCTGTCGTGGTGGGGGTTGGGTAGGGTGGCCACGGAGAAGGGAGGCGCGGACGGCGGCAGGCTGAAGGTTTTGGCCCCGACGGGCGAGGTTTCCTGCGAGTGGGACGGTTCGGTGGAGCGCAAGCTGGAGTGCGAGCGCCGGCGGAAGCGGTAGCTGGGCAGGCGTAGCATGGCGTGCGTGGTGCTCTTGAAGAGGTCTGTGCGAGAGCGGCACCGCAGCTCTTTGCTCTTCTCGATGTAGATGTTGACGGCGAGGACGCCCACCATCTCGGCCAAGATGAAGGACAGGCCACCGAAGTAGAAGGACCAACCGTACGAGTAGTGCCACTTCTTGTCTTCGTCCTTCTTGGGCGAGATGTCGCTGAGTGCCGCCGAGATGTAAACGATCACGCCGATGATGTTGCTCAGGCCTGCCAGCGAAAACAGCAACCATGTCAGATAGCCACTTGGCTGTTCACGATCGTCAAACAAATGTCAATGTCACACAAAGATTATCCAAGTTAGCATAAAATGTTGGCTTGATTTATGAAGGAACTAGTGTGGAGAGACTCGCCAAGGCCTCCCGAAAGCTTTCAGACTCTGGTTAAGCACGTTGAGAGCCGTTCTCCACAAACGGAGAAAAGGCTTGAAGTGACTTTGCTTGAGGTGCGGTCATCCTGACAATTCTGGATTCTGTCAGGATCAAGATGGCGAGACAGTTTTGCTTGTGTTTGAAGAATCCAAACTGGAGCTTTTCGGCATCCCTTCCCATCGGGTTAGCCGAGTTACAGAATGAATAGCAGCTCACGTTACTTGTGTCGGCTTCCGCCCCAGAACCTTGTGACGGTCAATCGTGTCCGTGTCACTTCCAGGTCCCAGAGTGCAGACATTGATGATTATCTGTATCTGGATGGCTTTGGAAACCTCCAAGTCACAGATGTTGGCGTTCTGCTCCAGACTTTGGGTAATTCGAAAAAGCTTCAAATGATTCGCAATCTTTGCTATGTGGTTGGCCTGTATTGAATCTCCTTGGTCTTTAAACATAAGCAAAACCGAAGCTATAACTTGTGACTCTGTACTCGATGAAAAGTCACATCATAGTATAAATTGTGAGAGACCCTCCCCCCTTCCCCCACTAAAACACAATCCGCCTTGGCAGGAGTGGCGGGCCGATAGAAATGATCAAGAGGTCACAGAGGAACCCGGGACGGCATGGAAAGAACCGCAGGCCTCACTTGTCTCAGGTAAGAGCAGCGGTTCATGACTCCAAAATTAGGAAGAGACTCTGGGGCAAAAATGACTTCCAAGGCAAAAACCGCTGCTGACCGCAAACGCCGATGATGCTAAACATGGAAATGAATTCCTGTGGCTTTGGGGAGAAGTGTCTATGGCAGGGGTCGGGAACCTTTTTGACTAAGAGAACCATGAAAGCAAAATATTTGGTTCGTCGAAGGATTAGCTTTGAGCTAATGACCGAGCGGGCTGATTCAAAAGGGGGCGTTTACCTGTTTCCCCAGCAACGGCCGACGTCGGCCAGTATTATCCAATGAAAATTGCTCCTGCAGCCCTGAACAGGACACGAGCAGCGAAAAATCGATGGATGGATTCAACAAACGAGACTTTTTGTTTTACAGGGTTCCCACGGGTCCTTAAAATTCATAAAAATCCATTAAAAAGTTGTAAAATGATGTTCTTAATTGTCCTTAATTTTCAGGGAAAGATAAAATCAATAACAATCCTTAAAAATGTATTTTTATTCGAAAATATATTTTCAATATAATATTTATATTTTTCTTAGTGTACTTTATTTGAGAATGAATTCCGTTTTTTTTTTTCATTTTCCTACCTGTAATACAGGTAGGAAAATTAAATTTGACATACAGTATGTCGAATAAAGGGTTAGCTGATTGCCCCTAAAAATAAAGATGTGCCCTTCCTTTGGCAGCAATGATTTGAACACCAGCTCAGTGATATGTGTCTTTCTGTTCAGCCCGCATATTGCTGAGCGGGCATTAAATCCACCGTGAATCCCGCGCCGAATCGAGAAAAGGTCCTTAAAAATGGCTAAATTAGCCCTCAAAAGTCCTTAAAAAGGTCCATGAATAAAAAGCAAGTGGAAGAGTGGGAACCCTGTTTTATCTGTGAGCCAAATGCAATAATCTAAAGAGCCACATCTGGCTCGCAAGCCGCAGGTTCCCGACCCCTGGTCTATGGTGACACGGTAAAAGATGACAACTGTGTCCCGGTCCCAATGTGTCTCGGTCGGTCAGTAGATGCGTCGAGGGGAGGCAGTGGGATACTCAAATGCATGATCGGATCGTTATGTGGTCGGTGTGCAAGCATGTCGAAAACATGGGTGTCGCCATGTCCTGACCTGCGGCCACAAAGAGAATTCCGCCTCCCAGGATGACGTTTCTTTTGCTTTTGTCCAAGCCGCTGGAGGCCACGCATACGGCGCCCAGCAGCAGTAGCACGGCGCTCAGGATGGGGAAGATGCTGGACGCGCGCACCACACCTGCACACACGGTCGTGGTGGTCACTGTAGGTGCCATGACACCAAGTGTGATGTAAATGTGCTACAACTTCCTCACGTTTGTGATCAAAATGTATTTCTTCAGATTTTTTTCACATGTCCAAAGTGACATCGCGTGTCAAAAATATGACGGCGTGTGCCCAACTAGGAGCAGTCATGAACAAAATGGTGTGTCTTTATGGATGACACAGCGAGCACTAGAACATCGTCTTCCCAGCGCGGCTGAAAAGAATCCATTAGCTGCTTTTTTTTGTCTGTGTGAAAGCTTCTTTGTGTGTGTGTGCTTGTGTGTGTGTATATATATACACACACACACACACACACACACACACACACCCTGACTCAGCACTGCGTACCTGACACACAAATACACAAGCGGAAGCACACAGCTTCTTTGCCCGACTCTGACATTTGTGCATTGATGTCCGCCCACCAGCCCCTTGTGTCCGTTCCACAGCCTCCTTTCCTGGTGAGTGCGTGCGTATTCATGCGTGTGTGCGCGCTGCCCGATGTGTCACTCACGCAGCAGGTATTCGGCGGCATCTTGGTCGTAGTCTGCGTCATCCGGGAAATGGTTGATCTGCGAGCACACGCCTCGCTTCAGACCTGACGGGGACGGCGAGCAAGGAGAGAAGCTCAGGCGGAGCCGTCAAGTATGTATCTAACTCATTCGTTTCATCAGAGCCGTCATGGATTGCCCGCTTGTTTGAATTACCGGCAGTTGTTGCGGCCCAAATGACATTTTCGTGAGATGCCGCTTGCTGTCTGGAGAGTTTGGGATTCATCGAAAGCGCGTGGCTGATCTGAACCGTCCTCATAAAACACGTGACCCGGTATGTCTTACAATCATGGAAAAGAAGACAAACTGTGGTTGTGACCCTTGAACAAGACCAGGCGTCCATGTTGCTGTCTGCCAAAATGGCTGCCAGTTGAGCTCCCAGTTCCCTCAGGTGTATCGCAACATCATCGGTGGCTTTAAACAAAGCCTTAGTGGCACTTGTCAAAGAACCCCAACAAAGAAACGCTAAAAGAGGCTAATGTGTGTTTGTTTAGCGTCTGCAGAAAGCAGGTTGCAAATCATGATCATGCCATTTGGGACACAAACCACATTTTGACATTTAAAAGTGACACGGATGACTTTAAGACCATGTTCCACTTTGAAATATTTCACACCTTTTGAATGCTACTAATTAATTCAAAGCCCGAAAATGATGAACGGCCTTTTTCAAATGAAATTCACTGTTCGTCTTACCCAGTCCTGATCAAATGATCGGAACATGGCCCTTATGTCGTATGTATTTCGGATGGGTCGCTCGCGCGCAGCTCAGAGCAATGCATTGTGGGATGCCTTTTTTTTCCCCTATGGCGACCATCTTGGCGGTCTTCACGCGCACTTGCGTGCACACGCAGCCGCGTACATTCGTTCATCAATTTGCTTTAGATGAGGGTGTTTTCAAAGCACTTTGACGACTGGCTAGCTGATTGAAAATCACGATGCTGGCAGAAAGTTACTGCGTTTGGACGAATCGTCCCATACACGCTACCCGATGCTGATTTTTCGCCGGAGATCCCCGACATCGTGTTTTTCCGGGTGTTGACGACGCACTCCATCAGTCTGAACGGTCTTTTAGACGTTTTGTCTGTCTCCGTGCCGCAGTGCATAATTTTCTTCGGAGTCCGAAAGAAACATCGATCTTTGTCTCCCTTGGAATTGTTAAACCACCCGATGACGCAGTGCGAGTGAGTTGAACTCGATCCTATATACCAAAGACAGCGAGTGAAGAAAAAAAATGCAAAGCGGAAGTGACAAACTGTAGGTGACTTCTATCATGAGGTTGCTGGTAGCAGTTAGCTTAGCCACCTAGCTTCCAGCTATGCTCTTGCCATTAAAAAAAAAATCCATCTGTCCTGCTTTCGTTTCATCTCGCTACTACTGATGATGACTCAATGGAAACGTGCACTTGTCTACAACCAGATGCCGACTCGCTCTGAGATTTGTTGTATCACGCATCAGTACGCACGCTAGCGCAAATACACAAAATACAAATCATGTCTTTTGAGATGGGAAAAGTAGAACGTTCCGCTCATGCTACATTGTTGTTTTAATGGGCACAAATCGCACAATTGACCAACTTTTCATTTCGTGCGCCGTCATTACTTTGACGAAAACCTCGACGTGCACACCCACGGACACACGTACACACAAGCAACAAGTCAGGACGTGCCCGCACGCAGACAAACGCTCTCAAGGAAGCGGGTACCCTCGAGGCAGCAGATCCTCCAGAGTCCGGAGTGCGTGAGGGCCCCGGGGTCCTTCTTGTCTTTGGCGCTGTCGTCCTGTGCCGAAGAGGAGTTGGCGGTGCTGTTGCAGATGAAGGCCCGCGCGTACAGCCAGTAGTCGGTGCCGATGGCCACCGTCATCAGGGCGAAAGCGGCGAAGGCCCCCATGCTGGTCAGCAGCACCTGGATGCCACGCTCGCACCACGCCAGGGCCGGGCGCGCCAGGAAGCTTGGCTCGACGCCGTCGTTGTCATCATCATCATCATCATCATCGTCACACGTGTGTGTGTGTGTGTAAGGTATGGCGTGTGTTATGGCGTGCGAGCATACTGCCTGCGATAATTTGTCAGTGTTTCAATGTGTGTGAGCTTGTGTGGGTGTTTCTACGCGTGTATTTGCGGCTTTCTGTGTGTACTTGTGTCAGCATGGGTGCTTCCCGGCGTTTGTGTCTATGCTCGTGTACGTCACTGGATGTGTGTTTCGGTGAATGCGCACCGCATGTGTGAGGGTCGGCGTATATGTGGGTTTAATTGTTCGTGTGGGTCACATTGGATGAGTACTTTCCAGTGTGTGTATCAGTGTATTTGTGTGTGTGTGTCATTGTACGTGTTTGCCAGCAGTTGCGTGCATCATTGTGAGAAGGTGTCTGTCAGTGCTTGTGTGTGAACACGTGAATGCATCTTTCACCTTGTGTGTGTGTGTGTGTGTGTGTGTGTGTGTGTGTATTACCTGAGGGCACGTTGGTGCCTTTTGCCTCCATGCTGTTAGTTCTTTGCTGGCCTTGCCTCCGCCGTTGGTGTGCTGCTCTTGTTCAGCTCCTCTCGATCTCCTGCGTGCCAGCGTCGGCTCTCCTCCGCCGTCTTCTGCTTTCCTCTCGCTCCTCCTCACCGGATGCGCTTGGCGGAGAAAGGAAAAGAGGGAAGGAAGGGAGACGAAAGTGAAGGAGAAATGAGAAGGCGTGAAACAAAGGTGATGAGGAGGAGGATGAAGAAGAGGAGCTGCCTTCCCTTCCCGGACGGAAAGGCGACGGCGATTTGAGCGAGCGAGCGAGAGAGAGAGAGAAAGAAACCATGTGAGTGAGTGGTCGGTCGCTCTTCCATCACCATGGCAACTGTGGATTCCAAAGTCTACTGTGGAGAGTGCGCGCCCGTCATGTGTGCACTTCGCCAGGGATTAAACAGCTGGCTGGATTCCCCCCCGCCCCCATCAACGTAAGTATAGAAATATAACACTTACATTCACACGTCTAATGTATGCACATCTGTGGCGCTGAGTTTTGCACTTGGGCCTTCAGTGGGCAATTAGTGAACTAATCGAGCTCTTTACGCCATCACGTCGCCATATAACGAAGCTCCCAGGCCGAGCTTGAAGGAGATACCGTTCTAGGTGGCGAGGAAATTATTCGATCATTCGAGAATTGGAGTACAATTCGCTTCAAAATTCTGGAAAAAAAAATAAACCTCCTCTTTTCTGATTATTCTTCTTTTCAAAATTGTCTTCTTCCGATCATTTGCATCACAGGAATGCGTGAGACATTCATTCAAGGCTAACTATTTGATCAAAATGTGAAAAATAGAAAAGAGGACATACCTTTGCACAATCCATCCTTTTAGAGAACCGATGACGTCGAGCCTCGCGCGTCATGTGATTCGCCGCATCCCTCCATCCTGTTCTACCATCTTAAAAAGGTTATGATAACAGGTTTTGTGGGACGCGTCTTCCGTGAAGAATCATTGTGATATTGATGTCGATCAAAAGGGCAGCACGACTGGTTAGCTGCACATCGACCTCACTGTGCAGAGGGTGTAGGGTTCGATTTCGGGCCTTCCTGTGTGGGAGACTTCATGCTCTCCCTGTGATGTGATTGGCTGGGTTTTAAAATGTAAAAGTCCTCCAATTCTGAAATAACCCCAATATTTATGTGCGTATATTTTGTTTAGAGATAGATAAGGTTGTGTGTATATATACACACGTATAACAAAAATTGAGCTATTTTTCCTCATCCTATGACCCGTCCTCCATTCCATATTAGTTTCAGAATTAAAAATAGAAAATCAAATTGTTCTGAGACCTTTCCTGACTCTGTTCCAGACAACAGACGAGAAAACTCGAGCTGTATCTCAAAGCAGAAAGGGAGCAGGGGCGCTTGTTCCAGAGACGTTTATTACGCAAGACCTGTTGTTCACATGATTCACTTTGATTTTCTGTGGAGTCAAGTGGAAGCACCAATTTCCCCGGTAAGCCCAAGCAGTCACTATGACAGGTCACCGGGTGGCGCTAGTGTGCACTGCGCCGTTGAACTAGCAGCAGCAAAAGGAAGGAAAGTGATTTTGCATCCGGCTGCAGCAGCTCCATGCTGGTGATCGACGCCTCTTCCAGCACCTCAATGTGTGCCGCCAGAAGTTGTAGGTGGAGACTGGAGGCGACCCATGACCTGGCCGAACAGTCAGGCGGCAAGTATGATGGCTCTGCTGTTTAGCCAAAAACAAAAACCAGCATGTCATGTTTGGGCCACATCGCTAAGCCCGACACTGATTGGAATTTGTCGGCTTTCCTTCCCGGACTGTTTTGGGACCCAGCCAACTCATCATCCACCATGCACACTCTGCAACAGAGAGAGAGAGAACAGTGCACACACCAGCTTTCCAACTGACATCCTAAACTCACAAAATAGCTGCTCTGAACCCAGACAAGCCAAACAATGAGCTGACCACCTCAAACATTGCTTGCCCAAGAGCCCCTCACACACGCGTCCAACCCTCAACTCCAGAAACGCAGCCCACGCCCGCCCTCAACACCCAACGACGACGACGCTTCTTAGCCCTGGTCAACCAAGGCGAACCACAAAGCTCACTACTCGGCCTTCTCTTCTTTAGCATTTACAGGCGTCCCCTCAAGAGATGATACTCGTTTGTGTTGCGCTCCATTCTTCACTTGTGGAACTGCACCATGTCCTCGTCCCATCCATGGCCATTTGCACCCTGCAACCCAAAATCAAAACAAATTGCAGTTGTGCCCCCCCCCCCCCTCCTTGCTTAATCAACTGTCACGCATTTTGCAACCTCCGCCCAGCCTTTCCATTCATCAAAACACCCACTCTGATTCTCTTTGGCTTCTTGTGTCCCAGGCCGCTTCTTCACGCTGCAATAAAATCAATTCATAATTTGGTTCTGCATTTCCCACTTGTTTCATTTCTTACCCCGGTTTGGTGGATCTTGAGGCCTCTCGCACTCCAACGCCACAAGAAAACACAGCACAAGCATTACAGTTTTGGAAACATACCGGTCGCAGAGGACAATCGTCAAACAAAATCCTGCTTGCCACTTACTTGGTGACTTTGGTTCAGGTTTTCCTCTACCCCATGCTGTACTTCGAGCCAGCAAAATAAGCACAAATTTTCATCTTTTGTGCATTTACGCCGCCGCTGCAGTCGTCCAACATGGGCTCCTCTGCTTTGCAACAAGTCAGGTGTATTTGGATTAGGGGTGCACAATGTCTCCCAAAAATATTGTCGGCACACAAGGTTATTTTCATGAGTTGCAGCTCATAACTGCTAAACTATTCAAAAGCACTTTTTGTGGAGGCCCAGATGAACTTATTTTCACCTGGTCCGAGGTCCTCCGAGTCGCTTTGAATTGATGGATGCTGCATTCATTTAGTGCGACAAAAATATAATGAACAAAAATTACGTTTGTAAGGCAATGTGTAATTTTTAAAAAAATAATTACAATGACTAACTAGCGGCAGTTTCTAAAGAAAATGCGCGTGACTGTCGAAAGCTGTCAAACTACAGTATCGTTTTGCGACCGGAAATACGCCATTGTGGCCAACTGAAGTAAATCGGTATCCAACCGAATCCTTCAAATATCCTCCAAAAAATTTTCCATTGGCAATTTTCATTCTCATGTTAGCTTTATAAGTACGCATTTTTATCTTAGGCCAATGTATCTCAAATTGGACACTTTATCCAAGTTCGCAGTCCCAAAATGGCGGTGTAGCACAAACCGAGGGACGATGCCCAAAAACGGATGCGGAACAGGAGGAGACCACCAACATGGAGTCACTGCGGCCGGATGCAAGTCCACCTTCCTTTTCAACGGGGCCGTGCACACTAGTCGCGCCAGCCGGTGACCTGTCATGGTGACTGCTTCAGCTTTCCGGGGAAAATGGTGCCTCCACTTCATGCCACAAAGATCCAAGTGAGTCACATGAACATCATGATGCACGTCTCTAGAATGAGCTCCTCTGCTCTCTTATGATTTTTTTTGGAACGGGTCAGGAAAAGTCTCAGAAGAGGTCGGTTTTCCATTTTTATTTCTGAAATGTAGATATGGAGCACGAGACAAAAGCGGGGGCGGGGGTTAGAATAGCTCGCACATTTGGACACAGACAATGTTTCCGGCACTTCCGATTAATAATCCCACTGCCCGTTCCCAGCGCATGACGACTAAATGTTCGGGTTGCCACCTTCCAAATCTGGAAATAAGGGAACACACCTCACGGCGTCGCGGAAAAGTGACGATAGGCTATTAAATAGTGCTGTAAATTGAACAAAGATAAGAAAACCTTTATTAGTCTCACAATGGAGAAATTCCCAATTCACAGCAGCAAAATTATGAAAGGAAGAAGTAGAAGAACAAAATATATGAGCTGCTGTAAAGGCAGCCACTCTCACGGCGCCATCTTGAAGTCAAAATAACAAAATAACACAACACATAAGACACAGACAGTTGTGCAATCTCAACCACTTTTCTGCATCCTCTTTGTTGTATGAAGCAGTTCTAGATGAAAGAGGAGAGGATCAAAGTGTCCTTTCACCAGTGGATCAGAGACTTCATGCTGGAAATGTGCACACGTCTGCTACAAGCTAAGTTTTGAAAGCAAACACGAAGCTGTCGCGTCCATTGACGAAAAGAGATTTACTCACATCTCCTGTCCCACGTAATCCGCTTCAATTCCAAGCCGCGA